AAATCCAAGAAAGGGTCTTTCCTGATCTTGAGTTGGTTCTCCTTTCCCGGGATGCCTATTGTCACTCTCCTTTTCACATCACGTCCTGTGGGCTCATCACTGTCCTTCCCATCTTGTCCTCTGGACTCATCACTGTCCTTCCCATCATGTCCTGTGGACTCATCACTGTCCTTCCCATCATGTCCTTTGGACTCATCACTATCCTTCCCATCATGTCCTGTGGACTCATCACTGTCCTTCCCATCATGTCCTGTGGATTCATCACTGTCCTTCCCATCATGTCCTCTGGACTCATCACTGTCCTTCCCATCATGTCCTGTGGGCTCATCACTGTCCTTCCCATCATGTCCTGTGGGCTCATCACTGTCCTTCCCATCATGTCCTGTGGGCTCATCACTGTCCCAGGACCCAGTGAATTAGTGAATCGCAGCTATTCTGAGCTTTGACAAAGCAGAAGTGTGGCCTCTTGAAGGCAACCACACCCATTTTGACTCCAGGAAAATGTGCTAATAAGCAAGTTAAATCTGTCTACCCCAGATTCCCTCTCCAGTCTGTTTTTCATCTGCACACTCTCACAATTTTAAATGTACTTAAAGACATTAATAGAGTACTTGACATAATGCCTGTAAGATCACCATCACCAAGGCCCCCATAGTGACCTAAGAGTGGTATTTTTGTCGCACTACCCCATATCTTCCCCATCCATCTGTTCCCACCATCAACCTTGTCTTCTCCCCAACCTTGGGTTTGTGTGCTTTGTTTGGAGAGGGGACTTCTACACTCCAAGCAAAAGGCTGCTCTCCCTTGTCTCAGCATAGTTCCATCCTGCCCTATCACCCTCAGTTGTTTCAGAGTTTGAGTCAGTGCCTGTACCTGGAGACAAGAGACTATTAACAATAACACACTCTGTCTTGTCACCTAGGACCCTCTGTTCACAATCTCCTGTTCTCTCTAAGCACCTTCGCAAATGCTCTGCCCCTCTGCCCAGTCCAACGGGAAATGCCTCTTCATAGTTTGCATTCATTTAGGATTGCTATTTTAGCAAATTTATGGTAGACATTTATCTACATGTGTTATACATGATCGTTTCTTGTCATTTCCATTGGCCACCTTTCTACTCATCTTTATCAGTTCATTCACCATCAGTTTATTATTCATTCATCACACATGTCTCACTGAACTACATGCACTCATCGTGCCCTTGATTTTACCTATGCATTTCACTAGACTGCATGACCTAATACCTACTACTCACCAATTGGTGAGCATCATTGAACAATAACTGTGTTAGTGAATGTATTGATGAATCAAACAATATGTATCTTTTTTTAATCTTTGAAAAACCATTATCATTAGGATGCAAAATAGTCCCACATAGAAAATTATATATCATGTTAAAATATGTATATACAGAGAGGTGGATTTGGTGGATGTATATAATGCCCAACTATAGCTGTTGACAATTATAAAAAGAACTATGAGCCAAGTATTGCCTGATTAAGGTTGATTAAATTTCCAGGCTACTTTCTCATTTTCCTTTTGTTCATGGTTGTAGACATACAATAATGCTAACTTATTCCTCAATGTCTTTCCAGAAGGAGTATATGTGAGACTGACCCAAAACAAGAAAATGGGAGTGGATTTTGGAACTATTCAGAAACATTTCCGAGCTGTCTCCTCTCTGGGCTTGTGTGTGTAACTTCCAAGTTAAACCAGTTCACTGTTTATCCTTTATAATTCAGCATCTCTTCAGATTTGGTCGCTGTAGAACTGCTGTCGCACCAGTAAGGAGACAGTAGGGTTCCAACATGAGATGGGAGCTCTGTTCTCTGTCTCCTGTCATCTTTCTGTGTCAGACAAGACAGAAAACAGTCCTGTAGATCACATAACTATGGGCCACTCTTTTGTCCTTTTAAGAGAGAAGCTCAGAATTGTGTGTTCTCCAAACACACTCACCTTCCAGAATGGGAAGAACAAGGAATTGACACAAAAAAAACAAGAAAGAAACACTTGACAGGAAACAGAACTGAGCAAAGCCTGGGATTCTTTGTGAGTGTGACACATTATGGTTCAGAAACACATCTGCAGTTTTGTCTGACTCTCTGCATTTGAGCAAACCAAGTACAGGAAAGGTCTCATTTTTCTTACTTGAAACAATTTCAGATCATACATTTTCTAATAGGTACTCGTCTTCAATCAATTGCTTTGCATTTTCGTCCCTCATATTTTTTTTCGAGACAGGGTTTCTCTGTATCTTTGGAACCTGTCCTGGAACTAGCTCCTGTAGACCAGACTGGACTCAAATTCACAGAGATCCACCTGCCTCTGCCTCTCCTGTGTGATGGGATTAAAGGCATGTGCCACCACCATCTGGCCCCACATATTATTTTTTATAGATCTATTTATTTAATTCTTTATGTTTTTGTGTGATGTGTGTATGTGTACCACATATGTTCCTGGTGCCTGCCGAAGTCAGAAGAGGGCATTGGATCCCCTGGAACACGAGTTACAATGGTTGTGAACAACTACGTGGGTGCTGAGAACTGAAAGCAGGTCCTCTCCAAGAAGAAAAAGAGCTCTTAACTGCTGAACTATCTCTCCAATCCCTATGTTTTTAGTGTGTTTTCCTGAGAACTGTCTTGATGTATCTTTACTAAAAGTTAATTTAAGGTCATAAGTAAAGAAATAGCAACAGGTTTGTGGTTGGATAAGGTATTGGATCCTGGAACACATCAGTATCCTGGCTGTTTGGAAATATGCAAGCCATTTAAGTCATGCTATGTCAAACTTACACAGAATCTACACTATTCCAAAATGAACAGTAAATATTGATACATACTTAGAATCAGTTTGTCCAAGAATTTACTTACACTTATCTCTTTCTTAGAAATTTAGCTTGATAGCAGAGACTTTGTACTGTGCTTCTAACCAGAAAGATAACACAATGAGTCAACAAATATTAACTGAACTAAGAATGCCTTAGAAATTCTTAAGGATGCTAACACCATTCAGTAAAACTTGTTGGGGAACATAATATTCACCTCGACCCAAAAAGTATGTCTACTAGTACCTTCTCAGCAATGCATGTGAAAATACATCTTTATAATGACGGCAGCCAGTAGACAACACTTTTCTTACATGGAACTTTTCTTTCTCACGATTCTGGAGGCTGGAACTTCAGAATCAAGACACTGACACAGTCTCATGTGCAACAAGAATGTTCTTTTAATGTACAGACAACTGCCTTTTAATCTGTAGATTATTAGGAAGATAATTCCTCCCCAAGTTGTACTATTTGATAATAAATGTGCTGGTTTTTAATAAAAACAAATACAAAAAATGTTACACAGCTAGGCCCTATGAGTTTCACTTAAAGACTGCAAAGATGTAGCTCAAGTTAATGATTAAGAAAAACATTTGAGTCCCTGGACCAGACTGGCTCAAATTCCTTAAGTCTTAATCTTGAAAGATACAGTCACAGGTATCTATGTGCATCATTCCTTGAAACAAAACTTTAAAATAATTTCAAATTAGATCAGATGCTTTGATAATAGTTTTGAGATGAAGAAGCCCAGGAAACAATCTAAAGTTCACAAATACACAGAGCCAAGTTATAGATTCATTAAGTTAGGGTCAAAAACGCAACTCAACCCAACTGTTGTTAACTGATCATACTTTCCTGGGTAGGTTTGGTTGGTGATCAGAGGTGATGATTAATTCCTTGTGCTCATTCCTGCCCTCAATCTCCTGATATAAGAAACTATCAATGGGTGAGTATGCACCCTAAAGACTTAAAGTACAGCTGACTGGTTGGTTTTCATGTGTAAAAGATTAGGTTTGTGATTCCTTTAAGACTCCTTATAAGATTAACTGTCAAGATGAATACTAAAATGATTGATTCTTTCTTTGTACCCACAATGTGCAGCCTGCCAACAAAAGAGTTGTCTGTGAAAAAATACTATTCTGCTTGCTCATGATCTCTTAATCTATAACAAGTTGCTTAGAAGTAAATGTATATGGGTTGTTAGAGTGACTTTGTTTCAATCATGTAAAGGAGATTACCTGTGTTCATTATAATAATTCTTCTGAAAAATATGGTGTAAACACACTATGATTCATACATTGCCTGAAAAACTTCGTTGGGATATATAAGCTGTAGAAAGAAGTACACAAGTACACTGAGGAATAAAAGAAGAAGGATACCATTAAGAAGGAGTGTAAATCAGGTAGAAAATTCTAGTATATGTTGATACTGTGGATTTCTTTCGAGCCCTGTGCTGTCGGGAGGCTGCCACCCTCAGGAAGTGATAAGTGTTACCTTTAGAGTTAACCTTCAGTGACTTACTTTCACAAGTTTGACCTCATATTGGGAAGATTCAGCAATCACTCTAAAAGAGTGGCATCACTTGAATACCAAGTGTTCAAACATGTGAGCCAGTAGAGGACACTGTAGATTCAATCCACAACAATAAGAAACTGCTTTTTATGTTATATATAATACATACATATATGTGTGTGTTCTCTCTGTATCTACACTATACGTATACTATGTATACTCATATATATATATATATACATAAAACATATATAGTGAGAGACGCACTGTGTGTGTGTGTGTGTGTGTGTGTGTGTGTATTTAGGGATCAGGTATTCTGATTTCAGTTACTTGTCTTCACTATAATTTTTCACTATACACTCTGGTATTATGTGATGCACATGCACACAGAGATTAAAATTGATTGCTGATTGCTATAATTAGTGATTTAATGCACATGTTGTCTTGCATACTTCATGTGTCTTTACATGATCATGAGTAGTCAAATCTACTTATTTAGCAAAAACACCAAATAAAATGTGGACTGTAGTCTTCACTTCTTGGAGATTTCATTTCACTAACAATTTTTTTTTCAGTCCACATTGAAAACTTCTTTGCCAATTCAATACCCTTGTACCTACAATGAATGAAAGATATCCAGGTATTGTTAGCCAAGAAAATGCTTAGGTTTATTTATTTATAGCAGGTCTGATACTCCAACATCCAGTGCAATGAATTGTTAAATTCATAGGGAAACAAACAATGAGAACTTGATTTTGAAATCACGTACATGCAGGAGCATGTGCGTTTTGTCTGTCTATCGGTCTGTCTGTCTCTCATTCTCTCTCCCCCTCTCTCTCTCTCAGACACACACACACATAGTCAAAACTAGACTCTTTCTCAAGTGTAGTTCTTATGTATATTTTCTGGAACATTTCTTTCTTGGTATACTGGTGGTGCCAATGGTTGAAGTAACATGGGAGTTGCCGCTGCAGACACAGCAGGATTTTGTGGTAGAATTACAACAACCTGTGAAATGAATCAAAATGTCATTGAGTCATCCAGTATACCCAGAGCTTCCTATTCCTTACCCCATTATGTCCCCCTTACCAGTATCTACATTGTCACTATTGAATTGAATCACACCTCCCCCTGCTTGGTGTCTTAGGTACCATTTGGATCAAGTGTTGTACACATAGGACATTCATTCTATTGCAGAGGTTGACAAGAGAACTAGATATTTGCAGCTGCATGTTGGAGAATCGATTTTCCATTACATTTAAATGGATTAACGAAACAGGTGTTAAGAAAAATGACAATGGCGTTCTTCCAAAGTGGTTTTCTCCTGCTGACAGCATCACATCCAGACTTTGGTGTGTCAGCTGTGAACAAAGTTCTGCACACATGACAGTGGCCTAGAATGGCAGAAGCATCATGAGACTTGGGAAAATTCTGTCCTTCACAAGCTCAAGTGATGTGGGGCAGTGGCAGCATGAAGAAGATGTGCTACTTAAGCATCACATGCCCTAGGCCACTGCTGGGGTGGATTAACAGGAAATCATCAGGAACAGCATTACTCAGCTCTAGGGAGCAATTGCTGGGTTTCACTGGCTACTTTCTCTACTTGAAAATTTGAATCTTTGAAGACACTCCTGGCATATCATCCTCATGGTCTACTTCTGGTCTTTTTTTTTTTACTCCTAAGTTTCCCACTTTCTTATCCCTATGTGACCTTCTTCCTGCCCAGTCCTCAAGAACATCTGCAGCAGTCCTTGGGGAAAGACAATGGCCAGATGTGCACAAGCTGGAAGTTTCTGATAAACAACAACCCGGTCAGTTCCCTGAGCACACATTATGCAGGACAATGGGGCCTTGAAAGGAGGAATCAGGGTGGAGAAAATGGGGCTGGATTTGATCAAAGCATACAAGATGCAGTTATGGTATTTTCAAACAATAAAAAACATTAGCATGTGAAAGAAGTCTGAACACAGAAGAAGACTAGAAACCCTTCTTCAGCTGGGTTTCATCTTAGGAACAGAGCATGCTAGGTGGGACTGATTGGCAATAGATCAATGCGATACAAACAAAAAGGCAGGGTCTAAACAGTCCTGTAAAGGATGCTACATTCTGTGGCTGGATACCTTTCAGGTTCTTTCTACAGCTCACAAATGCACTTCCATCCTTAGAAATGCTTTTCTTAGTAAATGGACTTTGTTTTAGTTTCTAAGCATGAGTCCCTGGAACAGTCCTTTGCTTTGTAAAACGAGGATCTGGAATTGGGTAACCTCTGAACTCAGATCTGTGGCTTGGCAATCCTTAACATATTTTCCCAGACTGAAAAGTATTTCTCTCCATCTCCCTCTCTCTGAAGGCTGTAGGAATTTCCACCTTGTCTGTCCCTCAAACTATCATGAAAGTGCTCTTAAGCTTCCTTCCTAGTCTGGGTTTAAACTCTTTTATTAATGAAACTAAGAACCCCAAAGGGTGCCTCAGTTCCCTGATAACAGAGACTTTTAAGTCTGAGCTAGGACCTAGCTGACGTGTGGATGGTCTGGACTTGCGGGAGCTAAGAGCAATGAAGATGTCTTTGTAAGCTATTAGATTTGTGAGACTGCTTACTAGAGCGATAGAGACCTACTAAACACCATCCAACAAGGACTGCTACTCACCTCACTGGTGTTACAACAGATTGCTTTACATCCAAAGGCAGAGGTGGACACAGCGATGCAGAATTCTAGCACATTTAAAATGAGTATCAAAGCATCTATACCCTAAAAACAGATTTATATGAAGTAATGTAAATAGTGAGTAGAGATTATAAATTTGAAATATGCCCCCCACTACCGTGACAAAAAAGGAAAGACCCTGGCCAGGGGGTTGGAAATCTAGCTTTTGATATGGCCCAAACCTTAGACAATTTTCTGGCCTCTTGAATACCATTTCTTCTCTCACTTTTTTACTAATAAAAATTATCAGAAACCCAAGAGGCTTCAAATCTATGGTGCTAGAAATTTTACACAGAGAAAACAATATTATTTTACTTTTGAAGAGAAGAGGCTTGCAGGTTGGCTTTCGAACCGAACTCTGGAATGGCGAGATCTGAGTTTGCATTGGGAACAGAGGTTGTTTATTAGATAATATAGGCTGACCATCCTGGCCTCTGCGGGCTGTCCAAGTTACCATAGTGTCTTCACCAGTAGAAGCAAGATGCAAAAGAATCAAAGTCTAAGAGAATGTCGTACTTGCCTTGAAAACAGAGGACAGAGGTCCCAATGAGGAGCAGAAGGAGGGAGAACATGAGCAAAGAAGTCGGGACCACGAGGGGTGCACCCACCCATTGAGACAGTGGAGCTGATCTACTGGGAGCTCACCAAGGCCAGCTGGACTGTGACTGAAAAAGCATGGGTTAAAACTGGACTCTCTGAACATGGCGAACAATGAGGGCTGATGAGAAGCCAAGGACAATGGCACGGGGTTTTGATCCTACGTAATGTGCTGGCTTTGTGGGAGCTTAGCTAGTTTGGATGTTCACCTTCCTAGACATGGACAGAGGGGGGAGGACCTAGGACTTACCACAGGGCAGGGAACCCTGACTGCTCTTTGGACTGGAGAGGGAGGGGGAAAGGACTGGGAGTAGGGGGAAAAGGATGGGAGGAGGGGGAGAAGGGTGGGAGGAGGGGGAGGGAAATGGGAGGCTGGGAGGAGGTGGAAACTTGTTTTTTTTTTTCTTCCTTTTCTCAATAAAAAAAATCCTGTTGTTCAAGGAGATAAAGAGATTAAAAAAAAAAAGAAAACAGAGGACAGAATGATGAGCCAAGGGATGCAGACAGAAGGTGGAAACATAAAAGACAAGAAAATTACCTTTCCCTATGTCTCCCAGGAAGGACAACAGCCCTGTCAACATTTTGATTGTATGCAATTGAGATTCATTTTGAACTTCTGTCATCCTGTAATACATCTGGATTATGTGCTAATTTGGTAGCAATTGTCGCAAGTATGGTAAATGATTGGAGTGTTAAATAACACATTCGTTAGTATTCAGTGCACTTGGCTTTGTCTGATTCTTCACCAAGCCACAGGATCAAAATGGAGGAAAAAGGAAGCAGCACATTTGTTATGAATTCTCTTGCCTTGAACTGGTTTTGAATTTCTCTTGCCTGCAATTGTTGGCTTTGAATATTCTGTCTCTTTCTCTCATTGATGAGAAATGCTCCCTTTACTGTAGATTAGTCAACAGATCAGAACCTTGGCATGTGAGAGATACTGATTCAGCAGGCTCTGAGAAGATTTGCATGTTTTGTGATGAGATATTCCTTGCTCCTGCCTCAACAGATCCAGTAGCCTCTGTGTCTCAGGCACTGTGACAGGCACAGTGGAGAATAACAAGTAGAAGAGATGGTAGCCTTGTCCTCAGAAATGTGACCATCTAGATAAGAGTTTCTTTGAGCATCAGAGAGTACCGAAGTCCTGTCTATATGCCTCATATCCTTCCTTACAATTTAATCACTTTCATATAATTTATAAACAGTCTCACATAACATAATTTAATTTACATAAACAAGTAGAGCCTGGGCCTGGTAGCTCACAACTAGAATCCCAACACTGAGAAGAGATGGTGTTTTTTAATCTGTGGGAATCCCAGGCTATATAGCAAGATTCACATCTCCAGAAATATCAAACAAACACACAGACTGAAAACAGCAACATAAACAAAAGGAAGACTTTCAACAGAAGTAGAACATGTATATAAGTTTATAATATACAACTTTAAGCTGCAGGAATTTTTTTTAGATCACCTTGAATGGTCACTGATAATTCCACATGGCTTTTTCTTTTGTACAAAGAACTCACTCTTTTAAACCTGTTTTGTAAAATCATAAGCTAAACAATATATCTTTTCTCCTTAGAGGTTTGGAACCTTCCACTCTTAGGAACTTGGTTTTATTTTAGGCCTCTCTGGGATGCCAACTCAAGATGACAGGACATATGGGCCCTAGGTCTCTGCACTAGCTACATTAATGGGTTTTTTTATTTACTTGGTTATAGACAGAAGGGAAGTAATCCACTGTCACCTGACCCCTAAATAGATAACCGTTCTACTTCCCAGTCATTCACGGCTCCCTAAAGAAGATTTGACAGTTACATTTTACAGCGTTAATTGTTACCTTTGCAAGAGTAAAAAAGCTTTTGTCTCCACAGTGGAAGCCCACTATCAAAGGAAATACTCACCACAATAATTGTATGTTGAAATTGGACTGCACTTAAAACCACACTGAATATACTGATTATACTTGTTGCTGCAGCCACCACAGAGCTAATGGTGTTAAAACTTAGGCTGATGGTAACCTAGAAAGAAATGGGAACCAGTTAATTCAATAGCATCTTTGGTGTAGCGCCATCAATATTTGAAATGCAGCATGATTTTATTAATACAGTTCATCCTATTTCTGCCAAAAGTACAATCTGTGTCTTTCCTTAAGGTATCTTTACTTCCAGTCCTTTGACAATGTAAAAGCATTATGCCGTTTTCCTAAGATGAAATCCCCTGTCCTCCTGAGATGACACTCAAGGGCACAACATGCTCTTTGAATTTTGTAGTGAAAACATAGTGATCTTGACACATTATCTGGAAGGCCCTGCCTGTCATTACCTACCACATTCTTCAAACGTCTGACTGTTTTCCTTGTATAAATGTTGATAATCACTCACGGCATGGCCCTCTGGCATATTTCCCCCTATGCTGTAGATTTGGTTTCACACTTCTTTCCTCAAGGTTCAATAAAACAAACTTTATTATGAGAAGTAAAACTACTCAGGAAACTGAAAGTGTGTTGTGTCTCTAATATGAGAATCGAAAGAGAACAGAGTCCTGATCTGCAGGCTTTCTCGCGGGGTTTAGGTAGGATGTCTCAGTATAGCGAGAGGGACTTAGACAATTTTTAGTCTGAGAGGTAAGGGAATGAACTCACACACGTGGTGTCTGAGTTCCTCAGCCATCACAAAATCCAAACCATATATAAATTCATTCATTAACAACTTGTTAGTAATAAAAATACTGCAAGGAATATTCTCAGGGACAGAGGCATTCTTTGAAGATATGCAGCAAAACGTATCTAGTTTGTAGCTGACCACAGCTGCAGCTATGAGGAGGTTCCAGCCTTCTCGTATTAAGACTGCTACAGCTTACAAAATGCAGAAAACTAAACCATTGAGAGATCTAAGGAAAAGGCAAAGAATACATGCATTATTTTACATTTCTCAAGTGTGATTAATAATATTTGTTCATTCTTAGTCAATAACCAGCATTTTTATTTACCTAAATCTTAAGACATAAACAGAAACAGTTATTCTATTGCATCGAAAGCTAGTACAAAGTGTTAATTGCTGTTTTGAGTGACAGCAGAGAGATGCTGGTCAAGAGAACTTCGGACCACATAGGTCCTATTGCTCTCTCAAAGGACTATGATATAACAAGGTCAGACACCTGCAATACCAACCTAATTTGTCATAAATCCTTAAAGGACTATGCTCTATCAAGACCAGGCACCTGCAAATCTGTTCTGTAAAAGTTCCTCTTGTGATTACCCCACAAGGACTTCCATCTGGCCAAATCATACTGTCAGGCAGTTAATTACAATGAATTTCTATTTTGTTTTAAATAGCAGTGTGGGACAAAAGGTGTGATTTTTTTTTTAAATGTTATTTTAGATACATTTGTAGAAACCATTTTAACCTGTCAGTTAATGATGTTATTGCCACTGCAAATATTTGGTGTCATTGTCATGGGCACAATCTGAAGCTTCAAGGCTCACGTGTCTAACTTCATTTCTCCGGTTTCACCAGGACCAAGATTCTCTCCGCAACTGCCTGGACACACCATCCACTCAGATATGATGAGACCTTTTATGAACAAGTAGCTCAGCTACACCTTTGAAAGTCAGATCTTTTTAAAATGCAGAGCCTTGGCCTTAGGAAAATAGAACCAACCTCTTTTACATATTAGCAGAATGCATACTTGACGAAATCATTCTCATGTAATGGCAAAATAAGAGAAAATAGTTACCAGGACCTCTGTAGTTATCATTCCTGCTGCAATTGACAAGGATCCTGAGATTATGAACTGATAATAAGAGGAAAATTTCAAGTTAACATTTTTTAAATAGCTTTTATAAATCATAGCATACTAAAACTCACTTCTATGTCAGCTGGGTCTACTAAAGTGGCCAATGATCTTAAAGGCAGTGCAGCTGTCACAATACCTCCCCTACCAGAAGAACAGGGGGTAAAGGGAGTCAGTGGAAGAATCATCAAGGTTTTTTAAAATTATGAAACTGTCATCCCAACAAAATTGTTTAAGATCAATGAAGGATAAAACTCCCCAATCCTTATAATTAGATTTTTGCACACATGGCCTGAAACTGAAGAAGATAGCCACACAAAATCAGACCAGAAATTATTCTTGTTGAAGATATATCAAAAGCTGTAAATAAAATAATGACAAAAATTATACTAGAATGCTGTAGCTCATTTGAGTCCTGCAATTTGGCAATTATTTTCAATTTCTTCTAAATGACTGCTGTCAACCTGACTCAAGTGACTTTAAACTATTATACGGATGTCTGCATTTGCTTTCCATACTTGGCTTAGAAGATTTAAAAGTTATAGCAGCATCAGCACTATCACAGCATTAAAATGAAAATCAACATATACATATAAGTTTGGGGAGATAGCTCTCAGCCAATTGCTTCCCATGCAGGGCTGAGCCCTTAGGTTCAATTCTCCATCAAGAACTATAGGAGTTGGTTTCCAGGATAGTACTTAATAGAAAATAAAGATGGAAGAAGAAAGCAGGGGTGGGGAGATAGGAGAGATTCTGAGTCCTCGTTCATGGGCTGCGTGCATCTTGGGTATATTAACCTTCCTAGTCTTGTTTTCTTCACTTATACAATGACAATGAAAACAAATTTCTCAAAAGTTGTGGTGATTGATTGAAGTGGAGGAACATTACATACAAAACAGCAATATTCTTAGATTACAGTGCAATGAAAACTATTACTGGTGTTATGGGTGCTATTACTACTATTATCATAATCATTGATACTATTATTGATATGTCAAATGTCATGTGACTTTGAAAAGTATTGGAGTCTGTGGCATTTCTCAAATCTTAAACATCTATTGTAAATAGGAAGGGAAAATTAAGGTACCAGGTCTACAACATCACTAAATTTTCTCATTGTCAAGTTTATCAATAAATGGAGTCCTCATTTTTTAATGGAATTCTCACTTGTAAAATAACCAACTTTTTGCATTTTACTTTCCATTTGTCGGCTCACAATATATAGGTAAGAAAATGTTTGATATTTTATACTTAATTGACACTCTTTTCTCTACAAAACTTTCTTAAATTTTATTATAGAGGAAATTTTTTAATTTTTAAAATTTCTTTTTCAATTTTTTTATTAGTTACTTTCTTTAAGATTTGGAACAGAATTTACCTAGGTTTTCTATTCTCTTAAGCATTGACTGAGAGTTGATTAGCCAGGCACTGCTAACCACCTACTCAGCTTTGCCTCCTCTGCATTGCTAACAAGTCCCTCATTTCCTTCATTCTTTCATGAGCTTCAGAGTTCAGTGATCCCTTCCCAGCTAGAGAAGTGAATCTCAATTTCCAAAAGTTAAAGATGCAAGTTCATTTTCCTTGGCTTAAAAATAGACTGGTAAACTCTTTGTGAACAGTGAAAGAGCTCCATCAATATATCAGGTTACTCTGTCATCAAGACATGATGACATTTTGTACCACCGAATAACCACCACTAGGAATGACTAGCCTCTGGACTCCTGAGGAAATTAGTTGTGACAATGCTTAAGTAACTCTTGTGGGAGTACATGAATACATGCTGACACAGTATCCTAAATGCCATATTAAATAAACAACCCACCTAGTTTATGTGAAGGGTATATTGGTATTGCAACATGAACAAAGAAAAAACTGAAAAAAACTGATATACTGTTCTCAAACTTATGGACTACTTGAAAGAGTAAAGAGAGGATTCCCCCTAAGGTTAGTGGAGTCACAACAGAGTGTTATTATCTCCAGTTACATAAGATGGTATGTTACTCACTATGATTGAACCCCAAATTGGAGCATATACGAACGCTGAAATTACTGGGTGGAGGAATTGGCTTCCACTTATCATTATTATACCCAAAATGAGGTTTATGAGACCAATCAGAACTTGGACAACCTAGACACAGAAAAGTGACACATTATCACCACAAAAATGATGTCTGTACTAAGTGCTATCAAACCACTAAGTTGCCTTCATCCACACGTTTAATATACACAGATGAATTTTGAATTATTATTCTGACAATAGTTTTCATAAACAGATGGGATGTACTAATATATATATATTTCCCTTGTAATCTCTCTCTCTCTCTCTCTCTCTCTCTCTCTCTCTCACACACACACACACACACACACACACACACACACACACACACACACATTTATTTGTATCAGTAACTTCAAATTTAGAGGGAATTTATGGAGGTAGGTACTGGCTTGTAATCAGACTAAGAAGATATTTGAGTTAAGGGCAGGGAATCATTGGGAAGTTGCATAGGAGTGCAAGACAATAATCTACAATCCTGTATCATCAAACTGCTCACATTAAATCATGATTTGTTCCCAGAGCCAAAGCTGGAGACCTAAGGCTGTGGTTCTCAACCTGTGGGTCTTAATTACTTTGGGGGTTCAATGACCCTTTCACAGGGATCACCTAAGACCATTGGAAATATAAGACATTCACATTATAATTTATAATAGTAGCAAAGTCACAGGTATGAAGTAGCAACCAGATACTTTTATGATAGGGATCTCCACAACATGAGGAAGTGAATTAAAGGGCCACAGCATTAGGAAGGTTGAGAAGCACTGAGCTCTGGGCTAAGCTCTCAGAGGAGGTAGGATTATGGAGGTGTTGTGGAAGATAGGGACAATGTGATCACTGGAAATTCGAAAAGCCCCAAACAGAATAAAACTCAACGCTTTTTAAATTTAATTTTGTGTCTTAACTATTGGTATACTAGTCTCATTCAAAACTTGGACTCTCTTAAAGTGATACATTTTTGAACATACCATAATTAAATATTTGGAGAGCATGTGAAAGAAAAGCATTATTATTTGCCAAAATTGTGTGATATTCTGAAATGTAATTAAAAATTAGAAATGCCAGCTTCTGACTAATCTGTGTTGCTTTAGTTTGATCCCATTTCTTTGGATTCTTGGGCTTCTTCAGCTAGTCGTGATTTGGAGCCTAGTTAGCAAGCAGAGGGACTCATAGTAAACAGTACTTCAGCAGCAAAAAGAATCTTGACATATTTAAGATATACAAATTCCACATGAACATAAAAGATATGTCATGAAAAAAATGATCATTTTTCAATATTTATAAGAACTAGAACAGTGAAGTAGAAAAGAAACTGGAAGGTTGTGCCAGTGAATTCCTTCTGCTTTTAGTGACCTTTAACCTGCGTAGCATGTAATTCCTTGAAATTCCCTAATTTTTTTTTTCTGGCACAGTCTTCTGCAGACAGAAGAATGCAGAAAATAGGGGATTTCTCTTCATCTGATCAGCAGAGGAAGGAAAAGCACTAGAAACGTCTGAGAACAATATGGGTTTCCCTGCTGCTGGGCAGGCCTGGGACTGGAGCGCAGCAGCAGTTTGCATAGGTTTCTGTCTGCACTGAAATGGATGGGGTCATCTTGGATAACACACAACCCAGAATGTACCTGAAATTTCTCTATTTGAAACATAATTCAATTGAAAATCTGATGTGGCAGAATAACATATCCGTTTTCAAATGATAGATTTGAAAATCAAATGCTAGTGACCATGGGAAGTGTTGAGAGACCATGAGGTTAGTGGGACAGAGTACTTGCGTTAGATTTTTTTATTTGTTAATCATTTAGATATTTACAAAACCATTCTCCCCTCAGATCCAGAAATGTCTTACCCCGAGGTCTTTGGGTTCCCCCTTCAAGAATTTCTCTGCATTCTCTTTCCACAGTTGTGACCTTACAACAGACCTCTCTGAAGGCAGAGCACCTCCAGGGGCCACATCTATGGTGGTCTGTTCTAGTCCTTGCATGGTTGCCATGGTAACAGAAACAGTGCTGAAATAAAATTGAAATTCTGGATGAACTCCTGGAAATGACTCAATGCCAGGTTCCTGCTTATGGGTAAATTCTGAACTAAATCCTCCCATGTTAACACAAAAAGTTTAGCATAGATAAACTACAAAAATAGTTTTAATCTCTTGGTAAGAGAAGCTCTCCTGTTTCTATTTTCTTAGCCTTATTTTTGAGTGCTCTTAACTTTTTTTAGATAGCCATGGCTGTTTTGGACATCATTTTCAAATAGATTATTGGAGCCTTTGTACAAGCTGAATTTATTTCCATTGACATCATTTCCCCCAACTCACTATCTGCTCCACCTCAGCAAAGTAACCCATCACTCTTCTCACATGGTCTCCGGCTTTCATCAGATACAACTCCCCACTTCTGTATACTACTCACTCTGCAATGCAAGAGAGGATTCAACCTGCCTTTGGTACTTCCTTTTTGTGCTCCAAAGGCAAAGGTGTTCTTAAGGAAACCTAAGCTGTAGAATAGTCCTCTCCAATGCAGTTTATTCTCTGTTTACAAAGGGCTTCTGCCGTGCCTCTCAGAAATACCTTCAGACCTCTGCAGTGTGCTGAGTTCTTGGATGTCTATTAATATTCTCCTCATGAGCCAATTACTAACGAGGAAGAATAGAGGAACCTAAAGGTTGAGCTTCTCTTTTGTCAAATAGAAAACACACACAGACACAGCCTAAATTTCAAGTTTGTTGGTATTTGATGGTTGTCGAGAAATGAAATATGAGCAGGGAAAAGCCTGGCCTAAGACCCGATAATCTGGAGTCTACTTCTAGCTCTTTCATTAAGATGTGAATTTCTGGCTACCGTCTCTGGGTTACCATGACTGCGCCTGTAAAGAGCGCATTGGGCACAATTGGTCCAAGCTTCTTTCTGATCTTTATACTGCTAAAAGTTTGCCCTGTGTCTTCCACTGATAAACATCTGCATCAGCAACTTCAGCTCATGGCCTATGTGTCCCCTAAATGAAGCCAGAGATGCTTGGAAACCTAGTCCAGGTCACAGTCCATCTTGGGAGCAGACTAAGCATATCTGGTTGGTAGCTCAGGCTCCATCATTTTCTGCATCTCCACTAAGTCTGCATGGAATAGATATTGTCTTAACTGATGGATTATCAAGATAATATTTAGGAGACAGAGATGAATATAATGGTAGAAGATTATTAAACGTGTGCAAAATTTGCAGCCAACAATTTAAGGTGTGGCCTTTGTTTTTCTTTTATATTCCTTTTTAAATGTTATTTTATTTTTGAGAATGTCATAACTGAGTATTGTATTTACATCATTTACACCCCATCCTCTCTACCATTCAACTTTTTCCCATGTTCCCCACAGTCTTAAATATTGATGACCTCGCAGGGAGGTGGTGTTGCACACCTTTAATCCCAGCACTTGTAGGCAGAGGCAGGTGGATCTTTGTGAATTCGAGGCCAGCCTGGTCTACAAGAGCTAGTTCCAGGACAGGCTCCAAAGCTACAGAGAAATCATGTCTCGAAAAACCAAATAGAAATATTTATGATCTCTTCTTCTTTGTTATTGTTATATATGCATGTGATTATATAGAATATATCAATATACAATATGAATATATATAAACATACAACCTGTGAGGTCCATTTAGTGTTTCTCATATGTATATTGTTTAGGGATAAACTCCTGGGATTGGATAACCCATCTGGGAGTTCACTGTTAGAGAAGACAGATTCTGCCTCTCTTAACAGTCAGTATTTGTCTATAGTTCTTCATCTAGGGGTGAATATGGCAAAATATCCTCAAGGGTACAAAAGTGGCACTTATATCTTGGGGGTAGCCAAGCATTGTGTAAATGGCCTTACAGAATATTCAATAGGAGGAAATTAATGTCTGCTACTATTAAACCTAGCCACATGCCTGGTGAGGTCATAGACCCTGGAGGAGAAAATATTGCTGCCAATTTACCAAGCATTTGTCTTTTCATTGTCCTTATTCTTTGCATCAAAAACTGCCTCCCAAGGTGCGTTTAGATGTGCACTCAACTCAACTTCAAAATACTAGTGTGTGTGTAGTGATCTCATCTTTCCATCTAGATGTCCAGTACATTAAAAGCCATCATGCCAAAAACCTGAGAAGACAAATGTCTGCACCTACCTTCTTCCAGCCTGCAATGCCTGCTGTCTGTGTCTGATGAAGGCCAGGCTCTGGGAGAGCACCTCAGTCTGTCCAGACCCAGGGCCCACCACACACTCAGACTCAGTCTGTCCAGACCCAGGGCCCACCACACACTCAGACTCAGTCTGTCCAGACCTGGGACCCATCCCACACCCAGCCTCAGTCTGTCCACACCCGGGACCCATCCCACACCCAGCCTCAGTCTCTTCAGACTTAGGACCGAACCCACACTCAGCCTCAGTCTGTTCAGATCCAGGACCCATCCCACACCCAGCCTCAGTCTGTCCAGACCCGGGACCCATCCCACACCCAGCCTCAGTCTCTTCAGACTCAGGACCTAACCCACACCCAGCCTCAGTCAGTCCAGACCCGGGACCCATCCCACACCCAGCCTCAGTCTCTTCAGACTCAGGACCGAACCCACACCCAGGACTCACCCCACACCCAGCCTCAATCTGTCCAGATCCGGGACTCGTCCCACACCCAGCCTCAGTCTGCTCAGACCCAGGACCCAGCCCACACTCGGGACCCACCCCACACCCACTCTGCAATCAGTTGAAATTTGCATGTTTCTTCTATCACCTTTCTAGATCATAAAGGGTGTGGTATGACTTTCTGAAAATATCAGCTTCCTCTTTTTTTTCTATAAAACCATTAACTGAGTTTTGATTTCTCAGCTAGAGTGTGTATATTTATTACGAAATATATTAAAAAAGAATGACTTACAGGGTTTTTCCACAAGAAAAAAAGAATGTTTATTGTGGTGATAAGTAAAGATTTACTGTTTGTAAAACTTTGCCAAAGGAATATAAGCAAAATGCTATATGAAAATTTTGTATCACCCATTATGTTGTGTATTTAAATTAATAAAGAGCAAAATCAAAACTAAGTAAAGAAGAAATACAAAAATATAGCAAATATACAATTCTAAAGACTTAGCATGCGTGGACTAATGTAATTTAGATGACTTTTCAAAAATCTATTTGCAAAAATTTACGCATTGCTATTACTGTGTTTTTCTAGAGGGCTGTGTATACAGCATCTAAATATGCTAAGTGTGCATGAAACTCCACTTTCATTGTCAAATAAAGATATTTCAAAGTAGATCTGATATATAGGTATATTGCCAAAGATATGTCCTCTGTAGGGATGACAGAACATCTGGATAATTTGTTCTCTTAGCCAAATAATAACACAGGCATTAAGAACACAAATTTGCAATCTCAGCTCACATGGAAATCCCTAATATTATATCTTTATGAGTGTTTTACTACTACAATCAGATTGTCAAGGATTCCATGACCATTTTTGACTGTTTTGTTTTTTTAATCCACATTCATTCTTCTCACTTCATACATCAGTACTGCATTTATATTATTTCTCCCCCCCTTTCTCAGTCCTCTCATGTCCCTGCCATGCCCGATCAAATTGTGACTTCTTTAATTATTGTGAAACACACAGTTATATATCCAAACACACATATAATGTGAATGTGTATGTGTATAGAGACATATATATGTTCTACTCAGTTCATAGTGAGGGTTTCTCACTTAGATCTGGCACTTCAAGTCAGATACTTTTATAGTTGTTTATCTGCTAGGGCATATAAGAGAGTGACTAGTATAGACGTCTTCAATTTTCACCAGAGCACTCTTCACTCTTTCTTTCTCTCTCTTCTTTCTTTCTTTCTTCCTTCCTTCCTTCCTTCCTTCCTTCCTTCTTTCTTCCTTCCTTCCTTCTTTGTGCAGAATATATACTTTTTGTTTGCTTGCTTGTTTGTCTGTTTGTTTGAGGCAAAAATTTTCTGTGTTGCCCTAGAACTTGCTCTGTAGACCAGGTTGGTTTCAAACTCACAGAGATTATCCTGTCTCTGCTTCCTGAGTGCTGGGATTAAAGACGTGCACCACCACCGCCTGGCAAGATATATGGTTTTTGTTCCTGATTTGATTTTCCACATCAGAGAATATTATTTACTCATTTGTATGTATATTGTAATCAAAATATAATTACATTATTTTTTTCTTCTCTCCTCCTAACCCCTCGAATGTTCCCTCTCTCCAATCCTCTTGCTGCTCCCCTCATTCTATCTCTAATTCATGGTCTCTTTTTCTTTGATAATTGTTTTTGTAACAATATAGCATAAATACATAAACATAATGTGTCAACTCCATTTAGTGTTGCTTGTATGTATATGATTTCAGAGTTGACCACTTAGCATTGGATAGCCAATTAGAGACTCATCCCTGGGGGAAAATAATTCTCCCTCTGTAGTCAGTCATGAGTTGCTAGCAAGAGCTTTGATTGAGTGCCCTTTCCCAATATGTGCTGGAGTGCTGACAGGCTTGATCTCATGTAGGTCTTTAGCAGGCACTCTTAGCTCTTGTGAGCTCATGAGTGCTACAGCCTGGCCATGTCTAGAAGACTCTATTTTGCCTCAGTCCTTCAAGACTTCTGGCCCTCATAGTCTCCTGCTCCTACTTCCACGGTGTTTCCTGAGCCTTGGTGGAAAGGAGTGTGATACAGATGTTCTATTTATGACTGAGACATTTGTTTTATGCACTTTGACCAGTTGAGAGTCTCCATAGTAATCACCATCCACTGCACAAAGATGGGGAGAGGGTAATAGAAGAGATGTGATACGAAAGCAGAATAGGAGCTACTGAGGGAGAAAACGAGGGAAGGGGAGGATCAGGGAAAGGGAGGGGAGTGGGGAGAAAGATGAATAGGAGCCAAGTATGTACGAAAGTGCCACAAAAAAGCCTATTACCTTGTATGCTAACTGTTAAAATACATAAAATAAACCTT